ACAAACCTATTAAGATAGCATGATGAGTGTATATGAAGCAAGCTCTAATCCTGTTTTTTTATTTTCTGAATGTTTGCTTTGAGAACGATTCTGGATGGATTTTCACTTTTACTTGTTCAATCAATGGAAGTGAATTTTGATTACTTGTTTTACTTGTTTTCCTGATTGTCGTGTTCATCGGCATTGATATACCACACGATATTTGACATAAATGCATTACATCATTTCGCATTTAACCTAAGCACCGCGGAAGATCCCAAAATAATCGAAATCGGATCAGACTTTAAGCTTGAACTCAGAAAGGATCTCCAAGAATGTCTCAAGAGGAATTCAAAAGTTTTTGCTTGGAGTTATTCTGATATGCCAGGGATCGGCAGATCAATTGCAGAACATTTCATCCCTACCGATCCAAATATCAAGCCAATAAAGTAGAAAAGAAGACGAGTCAGACCAGAGTGGCAAGACAAGATCAAGGCTGAAGTTCAGAAGCAGCTAGATGCAGGTTTCTTGGAGGTAGTGCATTATGCAGGTTTCTTGGAGGTAGTGCATTACCCTGAGTGGTTAGCAAACATAAGTCCTGTTGCTTAAGAGGATAGGAGACTAAAGTCTGTGTCGACTACAGAGAATTTACACAAAGCCTCGCCAAGATGACTTCCCAACTTCCAGCATATAGATGTTCTGATCAGCAGATGCTGGCAGGATGGGATGTTATTCATTATGACGGATCTCACTAGATACAACCAAATCCTGATGGCTTTAATTGAACAGCACAAGATCAGCCTCACTGTACCGATTTTGGGACCTTCTGTTATTAGGTGATGCCGTTTGGTTGAAGAATGTCGGACCAACATATCAGTAAATGCTAGCAACCTTGTTCATGATATGAATCCATAAAGGATTGGAGGTATATGTGGAGTGATAGTGGTGATCATGACAAAAACACAAGAAGAACTACGGAGATGTTGGAAAAGTTCTTCCGCGCGGGTCAAACAATAGCAATAAGACTCAATCCCAAAAAGTGGGCATAATTTGGAGTAAAAAAAGTGCATATTTGGAGTAATGAAGGGGAAGTTGTTAGGTTTTGTTATGGGACCTAATGGGATTGAGATTGACCCAGATAAAATAAAAGCCATTCAACACATGGAACCGCCGAGAACAGAACGTCAGGTGAGAAGCTTCTTAGAGAAGATCCAATATATCAGCAGGTTCATTTCCAGATTATCTATTACCTGCGCTCTAATCTTCAAGTTGCTTAGGAAGAACCAGCCGGTCAGATGGAACGAGGATTGTTAGAAGGCCTTTAACCATATAAGGGAGTACTTGATGAATCCACCAGTGTTAAGATCTCCTAGACTGGGAGGACTTTTGATTCTGTACTTGTCTGTAGAGGATGCAGGAGTTGGAGCTATGTTGGCACAGCCAGATGCTGCTGGAGTAGAAAAGGCCATCTATTATATCAGTATCAGTAAAGAAATTAATGCCTATTGAGGAGAGTATAATTTGATAGAGAAGACATGTATCGGCAGTGGTGTGATCGATCAAGAAGTTGAGGCCTTATTTTTGATTCTTTGCAGGATCACCTTTGTTTCTAAAATTGGATCTAATGAAGTATCTTCAAGAAAACACCTACTCTAGAAAGGACGATTGTCCAAATGGTTAATATCAGATGTCCAGGTGTAGATGCGGAGTTTTGATCACAAAGAAGACGGTCAAGGTCGGGTTTGATTGGCAATAGAATTCCTGGCTGAGAATCCCCAATCCGCAGATGATGGAACCAATAGGGAACTGAAATTTCCAGACGAACAATTTGTTATGTGTTAGAAAAAAGGGGTCTGGAAAACTATACTTTGAACGGAATCAGTCCAAATAGGATGGAGCTGGAGGCTGGTATATTTGATAGAAGCGTTCCAATGGGCGCGGGAACAACAATGTGCAAAAGGTTGTTGTTCCAGTCACACAAATAATATGAACAGAATAATGAACAGTATTATGGGAATCAAGTCTCTTCTTGCAAAAGGCGCTAAAGGAGGATTGAGGTGATAGGTAGATCATTTGTTGGTTATTGAACATGCCGTGAAAGATGGAAAGTTTGAGAAAGATAAGGCTGAAGCCCTATGTTGAATACTTGTATAAAGAAAGCAGGCACTCTTTGACAAGATCACTTTTACTCACATAGGTAGACTCAATAACAGAATCCCAGATGCTTTGGCAAACCTACCTCAGCGTGGCAGGAATTTGAGTAAAGATCCGCAAAGAAGCCATTTATCATTACCAAGGCAGCAAAATATGGCCAATCTATGAAGAAGCATTTGTGAATCAGGTTGAGTCAGAGGAAGAACTTGGTTTTTAGCGGATATTTTTGCAGTACAATGAAAGATGGAACCTTTTTTCGATAGATGTACAAAAGAAGGAATCGATGTTCTAAGGAAAAATGGCTTTGAAGTATGAGTATGTCCTAGCCGATGGTGAATTGTATAGGAAGGCCTGGAATGGAATGCTTCTAAGATGTGTAGGCAAGAAGGAAGGAGAAGAGATAATGAAGAAGATCCATGATGGAGTCTCTGGTACTCATTTGAGTGGCAAGAGTTTGGCCAGAAAGATTATAAGGCAAGGCTACTTTTGGGTGCAGATGGAAGGTGACTGTGTCAGCTATGTTCCTCATTGCAAAGCCTGCCAGTACCACGATAACAAAAATCATTTGCCTGTTGTTGAGCTCCATCCAACGACTCCTTCTTGGCCTTTTTCAGCCTGGGGTATAGATGTTATTGGCAAGATCACGCCGGCAGCATCAAATGGTCATTAGTATATCTTAGTCGCTGTGGACTACTTTTCCAGATGGATTGAAGCTCAGTCCTACAAAACTTTGACTGCCAAACATGACCTGCCAACAGGTGGCCTAGATTTATATGAGGCAGAACATTTTCTAGTCGCTATGGCGTTCTCATCACATAAGTTACAGCAATGGTTCTCACTTCTAAGAGCAGACGTCAGTCAGTTGTTATATATCAGATATAAGGTTGAGGCATCAACATTCTTCTCCTTATCGGCCTCAGCTAATTGGTGGGCAGTGGAAGCCGCCAATAAGGAAGATTAAAGAGAATTCTAGTCCAAATGTGGAGAAGTATAGGAAGACTGGGCTGAGAACTTCCTTTCAACACTCTGGGGGATCGAACTACTCCAATCAGTGAATGAAGCTTCTCCTTTCAGAGCTCGTATATGGGATGGAGGCAGGTGTTAACAGTAGAGACTGAAAAGAAGTCCCTACAGGGTTCCTTGTTGGTTGGCTTTAAGGGTCAAAATCTCGGATTTTGATGATTTAATAAAACAAAATAAATATTAAATTATATTATTTGTGCTAATTTTATTTTATGCAGAAATTTCATTGGAAAGAATATCATACAAGGCATCTACTTTGAGTTGAAGATTTTCGAAGACCTAGTAGGCTAGTATTTAGGAAAACTTTGTAGGATAGAGAGAAAAGTCCTATATGAGCACAAAAAATCCTTTTCTGCTCTCAAACTATTTTTCCGGAAAATTAGTTATTATTCAAATAATTTATTTTCGAAATATTCCTTTAAATCGAAAAAGATTTATTTTTCCTAAAACTTAGAGATTTCTTCTCTTAATTGTTTTTGGTAATACAAAT